CCACCACACACCGTGCTTTGGCATGATGCCGGTTGTATCGTACATGAACAGGGTTTTGCACCGGCTCCCTGAATGGGGTCATCAAGCTGATTGGTGCAGCCAGGCAGGGATACCCCATCCCCAACAATAACCAGCCATGAGGGGGTAGAGTTGGTGTACGTACAGAGAACTCCACCGCAGGACCCTGCATCGTGGACAGAGCCTGGAAGTCCTGTGAACAAGGGTGATGTATTGTGAATATGTCATTGTACTTGACATGGTACAGGACACATTATGTTGAAAATGCCCGTCTCAAACACTTCTGAAATGTGACATCACAAATTCAATTGTGACTATACAACATCTTTTAAAGTAATTACAATGTTTACAATCATGAGATAAGTAGAAATTCACACATGAACATAATGACGTTGCAGTTGTTGGTGACAAATACAAATCACAGTAAGTGTGAGTCCTGGTCCACATTCACTTTCATTGTATTGAGATGACTGCAACACCCTTTTCCTGAGAAACTCAAAAAGTTAACCCAACCTTCCAGAGGTATTAATGTCAGTAACTGATGACTGAATTATTTATTAGATCAACAATCCCTTAACACTAGAAAGACCAAGGCAGTCATTTTGACAGTTTTTTAATTTTGCAATGTAATAACTTACTTAAAATAAAACTTATGTAACTACAGGACCATGACTTTTCCTAAATGTGTCTATATTTTATTCTAGCATTGTAATTTTATCAAAAACACAAAACACAAAAGAGTTTTGAGTATTTCTACCTTGAAAGTCCATAGCGGGCATATTGACTGCATGCATTATAGCAGTGTATCGTTTCAGTATTCGCTACTTTTTCCCGCTCTTGAAGGTAGAGGTGGGCGATATGGGAAAAATATCATATCACAATTTTTTTCATACTGTTCTTTAGACAAATTTATAAGTTACTGACCAGTTCAACCAAACTTATTTACCTGTATGATGTTTTTAGAAGCACAAAAACTGTGCAGACAAGTTTAATGCTGCTCGTCAAAGTTTCTAACATCTGATTGGTTACTCAGCAAAGCAAGTCATGACAGATCGATCCCAGATAATGGATTGAAGCAGTGAATGCACTCCGATACGTTAGGTGACAGTGTTCATCCGTATATTCGTTTCGGTACGCTCTTCATTTGTCGCCGAAAAAATAGTTGCTGATGATACAAGTGAAGACTTTCAGCTCACCATTGGTGCAAAGTGTTAGTGCAGGATGTCCAAAAGCTCTCCGGAGCACAGGTACAGCAGATACCTGTCGCTACACCACGTACACCTGTTCAAGGTAGGTAAGGATAGCCAGATGTGCTTCTAAACGAAGCTAGCTAGTCGGCAGAATGGTGTTAGCATGTCAGCAGCCCTGAAGTTGGACTTTTATCACTTCTTTCTTTTTAGTTGTTGTTTGCTTTCTTTATTACATTTATCAGGACTTAAGGATGTTTTAGCTGAGTGGCGATCATGGGAGCTGTAACATTTTCTCTGTGTTGCAGCCGAAGTAGCAAGGCTGTTTGCTCCATACAACAACAACAACAACAACAACAACAACAACAACAACAACAACAACAACAGACAACAAGGCTGATAAAGTTCCAAGCATTCAGCTTAAAGCAGACCTTCTTGCTTCAGGACTTGGAGAACAAAGGTGATCTTTTCAGGTGCGTCTGAAACAAGAACTTTGACAAAGCACTGAGTCCTGACATTAGTAGGAGTTGTATTTTTAATTTCATTTTATCGCCATTTGTGTTCACCTATTTTACATATTAGACTCAAACTTTAATGACGTGATTTTCTTGCTGTGTATTTGTTATCACAGCTTAGCTTTTGGTATTTGAGTTAATGTGCATTATGTATATTTACAGGAAATGACAACGATCCCATGGTTGTAACAAACAAACTGATGGAGGTGTTTCCAAAGCTGCAAGAAGGGGGAGGCTTTGAGTTTCTAAAAATTGCAGGATCTACTCGCAGTCGAAATCTTGGACTTCTTCAATGTCCCAGCACAGGATACACCCTTACCTATCTAAAAGATCCATCTCCAACAATTGGACAGGCTACAATTGACATACGCCCACTTCAACAGGACCTACCCATTGATTCAGTATGGAAATTTACACTGTCACCATTTGATACATAGTTCAAATAAATTGCACTGTGGAGTTTTAATCAATACTTAACAGATTTGTTGTTCTTAGGAAAGCTCGGGACATGCCTCTGGTCCAGAAGGAGGTTCCCTTCTCTGAAATGAAACTGCACCGAGCTAACTGGGATGGCTATGCACTTGTTAAAGATATATAAGAATTACATATTCATTTTTCAATAAGAAATGTCTTTTTAGTTTTTGTGCACACAGATGAGAGGAAATGACTATAACATTTTCTGAACTTCAAGGACCCCCATGCAGGAAACACATAGAGAAGGAGAGGGAGACCGTGGTGAGGAGAATGATAGAGAGCCACCCACTGACAGGGACAGCGTTCCAGTGAGGCCTGAAACATCTGTAGAGAGTGAAGTAGAACCAGTAGTGATTGAAAGTGAGAAGATTGATCTTAAAGAACTTGACAATGCTTTGTGTCATCACAGTAGGAATGCTATAATATTGTGCATGATTAGAACTCAGTCAATAGAAGAATAACACCTTTTAACCATAATAAATAACGACTAGAAGACATGCCATTATCACTGCTGTTTTATAGAACCTTAGAAACACTTCCTCATACAGTTCACAGACTCCACATCTAAGTGAAGCTTGGTTGACTTCAAACAGCAAATAAGCATCATTCTGATGAAAGTCAAGTAGAAATGGACTTTCCTAGTATCTATTAAAAGGCTGTTGGATTCTGTCACATTTTTCAGGTGTTCCTCCTTTTCTGTTGATTGGGAGTTTATCTGCATTTAACATGCAAAGTAGTTACATTTATTTTTCTTCTTGTCTAGACTGGAAGATTATTAAAGAACCAACTCTGGCTGCCCAAGTTTTCAAAGATAATCTACTAAGTGAACATGCAACCGGGAAGCCTCTTAAACTGAAAATGGATGTAAGGGAGCGTGAGGAGGACAGGGAACGGGCACTTCTCTCATTCTATAAACAGCAACAGGAATGGGCATGTCCACTTCATTGTACCCTTGATGGTTAGTAGAATAGAGTTCATAATATAAATATATCCTGTTACATTAATATCAATTCTATGTCTTATATGGAATGGTATTAGTGGTTTACTGGTCCCATCAGGTCATTTGGCTGATATTAATCATTATATGATAATCTGCATTGGCTGTTCATGCTGTCTGCATAACAGTTCATGTGTTTGTCCTTCCTTCCTAAAACTTGTCAAGCACCTATAGCCTTGTTACAGCTTGTTTCTAGTGTGTTATTAACAGTATACAGTATTCTTTAAAAAAAAAAAGTTTTATAGGTGATGCTGCTGTTGGACAGGGAGTGATGCGGTACTTTCTGACAACAATAATATCCAAACTCCAGTTTGGATTCAGAATGAATCTTGGTAAATGTGCTACTATTCAGGTTAATGTCATGCATTTTAAAAGTTAATTGTTTGATTTGAAGCCCTGCTCTGTTGGTACTTACAGGAGGAGTGGGCCAAACTCTGCTATTTGAAGGTGAGCCTGACCATCTCGTTCCAGCTGCATCAGAGGTGCTTATTGAGAGCAACCTCTTCCGGGTTGCAGGAAGGATGATAGCCCACTCCTTTTTGCATGATGGCCCCCATGTCACCGGATTAAGTCCTGCTGTTATTCATGTACTGTTCAATGGGGACCCTGAAATGGCAACAATTGTTGTCGAGGACTGTCCTGATCTGCACATCAGGAGTATTATAACAATGGTATGTAACACACAAACAAAAAAACCTTTGCCTTGCAAAATTCCTGGACAGGTGTAATACCTTTTATGATCCAAACTGTAGCTTGAACTTGAAGAACTTACTCAGGAACAGAAGGACACAGTGTCAGATCTTTCCCTGTCTTGGGATCTCCCAGCAGTCACTAAAACGAATCAGAGGTGGCTACATAACAAACTTCTAGTACACGCGGTGAGTTTCTCCTGCTGATTTGGTGAATTCTCCTTCTGAAATTGAACTCATCCCCCATTTATCCATCAATTATGTTTCAAGCTAAGCAATTCTATCACGTCTGCATTTCTTTTGCACATCTGTATTTCAATCACAAACTAATTGGAACTGCAGGCAGGATTATTACAGAACCTAAACACTCTTTAACTTGTAATCTAGGCAGGGAGTGGTTTGGTGTTGCAATATGAAAGGATATAATTGGGGAAAAATACATCTTAACCCTGTAAAGCCTGACACATGAAAAAATAACCAGGAAATTCTATTCTTTTGGAATTGAGATGTTTATTAAACCCTTAAACAAAATCCCCAAAATGTTTTTCTCATATCATGTTGTTTATGATATTTTGTTTGTAGCACATTTGATACATCGGGCGTTTTTGGCAATTTTTTGCACACATTTCAGGAAGCTTTTCTCGTTGTTTTTTTTAACATAACACTTTTTACAGCCTTTTATTTCATTTTGTGGTAGGCACAAAAACAGTTTCTGTCCTTGTTCAGAAAGATGCACCTTACACACAGTAGACATGTGAGAAGTTGCATCTCTGTCGGGTTTCCCATGTTGGAAAATGATCAATGCCATCCCTTCTCACATCAAGAGGCACACTGCAGCTTGGTCTTTTACGGGGTGGTGTTGGAGTCTCTTCTGGAGAGGATAGTGGTCTGCCACACCTGATTTTGGCCTTTCCTGCCAACCAAAGCCTGAAACCTTCACAGAGGCACGGGTTTCTTCTTGGGGTTTAGCTTCTTCTGGTCTCTTCTGTAGAGGTTCCACGCATTGATGACTGCCACTGTAACAGTGTGCCACCAGATGTACATGTACCATCTTCGGGATCTGAAGCTGAACTTGTAAAGTGCAGACAGCATATCAAGGAGATCAACACCTCCCATGAACTTGTTATATGTTTCAACAATGGCTGGTCTGGGAACCGTTATGTGAGTTTTGGATTTGCGATCCCAGCGTTTCACATTTCCCACAGGTTCAGTGCCAACAAAAGAGGAAATCAGGTTCACTGCTTTGTTGTCGTACCATCTTACAACGATGTTGTTTTCCTGGTTCACTCTGAAGTCCATTGACCCTCTTCCATTTTCTTCAATTCTTTTTCATCCATCATGGTGCAGTGTTTCATCCTGTTCATCCGGATCGTGCCAACGTAGTGGATTCCTCTTTCTTTTAGGTGTTGCACCAGGGGAACTGATGTGAAGTAGTTGTCTGCAAAGACCTTGTGATTTTTTCCTGCTGGAAGTGTTGATGTCATTTTCAGCACAACTTCTCCTGTAACACCTACTTCAGACTTTTCTCTGTCTGGATTTTCTGCACCTTGACAAATATCAAAGTCATAAAGAAAGCCACTTTGTCCAGCACGTCCCCACATTTTGAAACCCCATTTGTGAGGTTTTGCAGGCATGTAGACACGTAGATGAGATTTTCCCTTAAATGGCACCATGATTTCATCAACTGCATGGCTTTCTTCAGGAGGTATGTAGAGAAACTGTTCTCGCAGTTTTTGTAACCATGGCCTGAGCTTCCACAGTTTATCTTTCTTTGCATCATCAGACACACTGAGGTTGTCCTGAAAGTGAATCACTGTCAGCAATTTCAGAAACCGATCTCGAGACATCACATGACAAACTGCAGGGAGCCTTGTCTCCATCTCCCAATAGGCTCTCACAGAGGACATCTGTACTAACCCCATATGAATGTACATGCCTAGAACCTGCTCTATTTCCTTGGCAGTTGTGTTTACTGACTTGCCCTCTTTTTGTACACTGTACAGGTTTGTTTGTTCTGCAGTTTCCTCTAGCATTTCATCAGTGACAAACTGTTTGAAATACATGTATGGTGTCCAGTCACACCTGTCTTCTGTGCCTTCCTCAACACTTGCAATGAAATTGATAGATGGAGCTTGATAATTTATTTTTCTCCATCTGTATTCTTTCCTTTGTGCATTGGCCTTCACTGACTCCTTTCTGATTGTGTCCTGTGTTGTTGTTGGGATCTCAACGTCTGTGCTTGTCTGGGCTACACTTTCCTCTTGATAGTCTTCCTCATCACTGCTATCTGAACTTCCATCATCATGCATGGCCTGAGGAGTCCATTCTTCCTCATCCTCCTCATCATCTTCCCCTAACTGCTCTATGTCACTTGAATTGCCATCCATTATCATGTTGATGACATTTTCAATGTACGTTTGTTTTCTCACTTCTTCCTCTATTCTTTTTGACATCTAAAAATACACACATAACAAATTGGTCAATATAGCGTAGCGATTATGATTTCAGAGGAATTGTTATTGTGAAAATACCCAAAATGTATTTTAAAATGGCATTTCAGTCATTAATTAGATTTATTAAATCATTAAAATAGTGTGTGTTTGTATATTGGTAGGCATGATGTAGATTACATTACAAAAATTTAGAATGACCGTTCAAGGATAAAGCACCTTATATACCTGCAGTATCAAATGTGATACACACATTTTTAACACGATTTAACTGTAATATGAAGAATGAATTATTAAGTAATGATGCATTGTTTTAATACAGAATATACTCCTATTAAAGAATGAGTAACAATATAAATGTTATTCTTACTGTAACTTCTTGAAAATTAGCAAAGATTTTCCTGCTGAAAGTGTGTGGATGCTAGCATGATGGTGGCCATTTTTTTAAAAGGTCAAAAAAAGCCCTTCCACTGCCTGCAGTAGAGTGCAAATCCTCTAGGGGGCAGAATACATGTATCAGGTCATATACAACAGGTTTTAAAGGAAAGTTTTGATCATGTTGATAAGACAGAGGTCTCAGAAACTTGCGTAGCAAATATGATACAAATGGTTTTATAGGGTTGTTAAGCACTGCATTAGAGTTTTATAAACACTTTCTACTGTGCTGACTTTTGTAGAATTTTAATATTTGGTCAGTAATATGGGTTTGGCCTTTCTTGTAGGTCATCGGGAGGACCATGCGCCAAATTAAACAGTTGAGAAAGGGATTGAAAGATGTGATGCTATGGCCCCTGCTGACATCAAGGCCAGATGTTGTCCCACTTCTTTTTCTGAAAATGGCAGGAATGCAGTTTGTACCCCAGGTGATTTAGTACATCCAACTTATTAACAATACTTAAAATATTAATAAATGTGTGTGCAAATCTTATTGTCTAATTTACTGAGCTGGATATTTTCTCAATTACCAAGACTGTAATCTATATTCCTTTTCATCAGTGCTGAATTATAAATTATCCTAGACACCAAAATACTTTTCAAACTTTTTTTTTCCAGATGTTCCTAGACAAAATCACATGGCCTGTGGAGGACAGTGATGATGAAGAACTTGACATTGAGTGCAAGTGCCGCATCACTGGTTTTCTACGGATGTTCATTGAAACAGGTATAGCTATCTTATTTTGCAATTTATTTTCATGTTTACCAATGTCTCTATGTCCCATAAACATCTCACTTAACACTGTAGAATATATGAAATGCATAGGGATTTGAACAGTTACAGTGCACTGTGTTCTTAATCCACTTTATGACCTTTTAGCTTCATCAGATACTCTGGCTCAGTTGCTGAAGTTCTGGGTCGGCTGGGAAATGCTCCCTCCAGAACTCAAAGTGGAGTTTTCCGGGGGAACCTTCCCATCATCCTCCACATGCTTTGAAACACTGAAGCTGCCAGCTCATTACAACACCTACAAAGACTTTGAGGAAGCACTTGTTGCTGCCATAGACAGTGCACACACTGGATTTGCTCTTGTTTAAGTATTTTCAGGCAATGATGTTGCTGTGCTTTTATTCAGTAGAAAAAGGTCAATTTGAGTGAAGTGAGTTCAGTGTTTTTCTAACATTTCAAATACAGTGCAGTATTTTCTTTCCCTGAAAATGACACTGCTTTGTTGTTGCTCTTCTGTCAACTGTTTGATACTTCAGTGTGCATCACCTTGCTGTCCTTGCCTGTTGTCATTGGCTACATGAGGTTGTTGAAATATCTCTTGATGCTAGAAAAATTGGTTTTATTTGCATTAAAACAGCATATTATTATTTCAGATTTTTATTGACAAATCAAGTTAACTAATTCATGAGTGACATTTGCACAATAAATAAAATAAAAGGCCTGCTTAAGATATCAGTCTCCAATGATTCTTGACAAAACTTGCACTGTCTCCAAATATGATCCAATTGCATCATTTAAAGAAACTCCTGAAACTGGCAAAATGGCAACCTCTTCATCTGAGAGCTCACGGGCCATCTGAATCTCAGGAACTGACACAGTGTCTCCATGCTGATTGTGAGGCCCATTCCAGTCGATCCCATAGTCTTCATAAACCTGAACAGAGGATAACCTTGATTGACATATTGTTTAAACTACTATGACATGTCATCACACAAGATTCATGAGATTGATCATTGGTCCTTATGTTGGTGACAAATTAAGTTTTAGGCACTTTGCTGCTCAGATGTTGTTCTGTCAGAGCTCAGGAGACAGAAGAGATTCTCATGTTTCATTCAAAAACAAGAACAAAGTGATAACAGAAACCCTTTTATTCAAATATAGTGGGTCCAATTATCATCTGTCTGAAATGTTTCTTCTAAGAAATTTGAGGAAAAATAAATCTGCTAAACATCAGTGACAAACACCTGTATCTCCTGACCAACAAAATATGAATATATTTTCAAAAGGTTTCAATAATAGTGTAAAACTACTATCTTTTTTTTAACCTCTGCAGGATCCTCCATGGGGCCTTGCTCTCTGTATCTTCTCCAGAGTTCATTAGGTGATTGATTCCTTTCAGTTCTAAGTCCATGAAAGTTCCAAGCATCTCTGAAGGAGCTGAGGGTTCTCTGAATTTGGGGAAGGAAGATCCGGTGCAGGGCATAAAGATGGACTTGGTTGTCTGGATTGAGTGTTCCCTGATCTTCCAATGAAGTGAAGATCTGATAGAAGAGGTCTAGGGCATGCTCATAAACATCTCTCCACATCCTCTCTATTCTGCAATTAGAATGCAATTGACAAATTGTTAATTAATATATAATCTCAAGCTTTAAAATACATTGAGCTGCTATGGTTTGTACAAGCAGTGGTGGACAGTAACGGAGTACATTTACTTGAGTATTTGTTTTTTTGGAAACTTGTGACTTTCACTCCACTACAAGATAAATATTGTGCTTTCGACTCCACTACATTTCTAGGAAGCTCGTCGTTACTGGTTCCTTTTAGGCTCAGCATAGCTTTGTAGTCAGCTGTTGGTGTTTTTCTTTTCTAAAATGCAATTGGCCTCACGCTGTGCTCCTCATAGAAGGGAACCAATCACAGTCACCGCTCACACATGGGATGGATTTGGAAATACGTCATCAACGCTCAGTGTAGCAAGCTCTCCCGCCTTCATTCAAACAAAACTCGGCAATGGAGATGGCAGGAGAAGCTGAGGAAAGAGACTAAATGTGCACCATCTTTTAGGGATTTCCATCACTTTCCACAGACATGGAAAAATGCAGGGCGGTTTACAGATTTTATTAAGGCAAGGGTTATGTTGCCATGTAGCCAAGTGGTTCAACTGGATGATGAGTTCATGAAAGCAGAGTTGCAGTTTGTTCGCAGTAATGGACTGAACAGTAAACTTGCAACTCCCCCACAGTGAATGTACGGGGAGAAAAAAAAGGCCCTCCTGTTTTTTTTGGGTGGGGATGTTTAAATAAAAAAATTAAATGACAATAGCTGTCCTTATTGTTTTTGATTGCATTTTTACGCTGAAGTTTTTACAGGTGTTTCTATAGACTTGTAAGTCAATACATCATTAGGTGGTTTCAGAGAGTTACAAGGTTCTGTGTAAGCACTGAGAAAACAATACAGCAATGCACTGATATTAGAAAATGTACTTTGTACTTTTGAATACTCAAGTATTTTTAAAAGTAAGTACTTTAGTACTTTAACTTGACTAAAATCTTGACCGAGCAACTTTTACTTGTAGTTGAGTAAGATTTGACCACGAGTATCAATACTTTGACTCAAGTACTGGAGTTGAGTACTTTGTCCACCACTGTGTACAAGTAGTCACCAAACAGATATATTTGACCTACCGCTGATTGTGTACACTTCTGCCTGTGATGTGAGAGTTCCTGTTGGTACCTCTGCTCCTGATCATGAATTCTGCTACGTCTGAATTCTCTCTTCCTTTATCAGACCGTACCCTTGACGGCAGCCCGTACTGCTGAACGGCATTGATAAAGCTCTGTAGGACAGTGCTAGCCCTGTTATTGCCAGCCACATTCAGGTAGACCACCAGTCGACTGAATCCGTCCACCCCACCATGGACAACAAATCTCCACCTGTCAGACAGTTTTGAACACAAAAAAGCTTTAATGTGATCATTTCTTTGGACATCTATAGAAAGTTGCATTGTTTATCAACTAATATCACTGATACCTTATAAGCTTGTGGTGACCATCTATGTGCCATAAAGAGTTTGGGCCAGGAACAGAATACTGCCGTCGTCTTGTTACATGCAGCCGTAGACGTCTCATGTACACTCCCTCAGCATCCACTCTGTGCAAAGACTCTCAGTCTTGAGACTTTAGAGCAGAAAATAATCATACACTCATTTGCTATTTATTTAAAAAAACACTTAAAAATCTAACTGAGAAATACTGGAAAAAAAATACCAGAGTTTCAAATATTTAGAAGTATTTTGATAGTGTTAGGGTGTTAATAAATAAATAATAATAAATGGCAACACCATGGATCATCAGCAACATTTAGCTCCTGGATAAAAAAATAAATTCAGGTCATCAAAATGTTCACGCCTTGGATACCACATGTTTTAAAACGACACAACCTCGATTAACTTCATGTTTGATATCGAATGTTTGAATTTGTAAATCCAGTACAAAACCACCACAGTCTCAAAAATGACCAGAGTTCACCTTATATATTTATTCATATTGGGCTCGGATCATACTCACTTGGAACACGCACACCTCTAGCATTCAAATGTCCACGCATTAGCTTGTAGCCGGTGTTTGGACACTTCTGTGGACTTCGCTTACAATACGGTCCAACTCCTCATCAGCAACAGGTGTAGAGATCTGTCTTTCTGAGCAGACCAACAAACTACATGTTACATTTCACTTAACACCTTTTAAAATGAACACCTTTTAAAATGAAGGACATCGCCAGTACACTACTAATAATCTTAATAAAATCTGTGAATTTAACTGTGAATACCTTAGGCCACGATGTTTCATGTGTCTTCTGATTGTCCTCTTTGAAACTCCAAACCTCTCAGTAATTTCACTCGCTGGTCGCCCACACCGGACACGATGCTGTAGAACGGCAGTGGGATGTCAAAAGCCGGGCGCCCTGCCCGGGTGTGTGCTGCGGCCCCGTACCGGAGAAGCGCTGGAGAACTTCTTCTAAGTTTGTGAACACTCTTCGGTCAATATCTTGGTCAGAGAGAGCGGAAATAACTCCAAGAACTTCAAAAATTGAGATCCGTCTCCGTTACATTCACTGCGACTTGATGACGATCAAATACCGCTGAATTAACTTAGACCCGATGTCACAGGTAAATGTTTTTGTCCCATGTAAAATAAGGACAATCGAAATGAAGCACTTGTCAGCTTATTTCACTACACCGTAGCGACGTTTACCTCCAGATGGGCCGTTGTTTACTTCCGCATTCCAGGAGCGGAAACTGGAAACCAGTTTAACCGGAGCCAAGCATACCGCAAAATAACCGACAACTGGCAGTCATACTACATACTACTGTTGAACGTAGTCTGCAGTATATACTGCATACTGATTTAGAAAGTATGTAGTACGCAGTCTTGAAAACGGCCGTGATGTTCATCAGGTCGCTGACCTTCAATCATTAACCCCGTGTTCTCCAGAGCTCGTTGGATGTCTGAATCTAACTCCTAACTCCTCCATGATTATTCACATATGCGGATTATCATTTTGTATTACATTAGCGATACTCTTTCAACATTTATATCAAAATTGTGATATATGTGTGACATAATAAAAAATGAAAACAGCTACATGATTGTAATGCTAAAACACACAGTCAAGTTTTCATTATTATTTATATAACTATAATATCATTTACTCTTACTGGTTGTCTCAGGTGAGTCAGGTGAGGGGAGGAGATTTATCACTACAGCTTATCAGGTCCAAGTTTCATAAAATAACTTTGAGATCATTAGTGACTCACCAACACTGATATCTTCTGGACAGATTCCATAATTTACAAACCTGCGTTTCCCATCGCGCTCATGGCGCCTAATTCAAATTCCAGTCAACATCAGGGAAGCCTGTGGGCGACAACTGCACCGAAAATAGGTGACGGAGGGAAACCGGCGTCCAGAGAAAAGCTGTTACCAACAAGAGCTCGTGGACAGATATGTTATGTCCATCCATCCATTATCTTTACCGCTTTTCCCGTCCAAAGGTTGCAGGCAGGCTGGAGCGGCTACCAGCTGTCATTGGGCGAGAGGCGGGGTTACACCGTAGAGTTTAAAACGGGTAAAAGTGGTTCAGATAGAAGTGATTGTACCCGACCTAAAAAGCCTCTGCATGTTTCTAATAAGCTCCACGAGCAGAAACGTGCTCAAACTAGGATCAATATTGGAGATGCTTTTGAAAAATGGAGAGAGGTTAGAACACAGAAAGGTTTACAGACCCATGCAGAGCTGGATAAACACTGAAGCTTCAGAGTCCACCACATGGTGACCTGAGTGAGCATCCACTCTAGAGAGGAGGGGGGGGGGGGGCTGAAGGCTGAAGGTCAAAGGAAATGTAACAATATATAACCTCTAGAGGGAGCACCACATAATCAGAAATAGAGACCATCTGTCTGCATCATAGTGTCGATGGTTGTGGACTTGATGTATAAACTCTTCTTTTAAACGTTCCTCCGTTGTTGTAGCAGCTCTTTGGTGTCTCTGATGTCGTCTCATCTGGTCTCATCACCACACAGCTCTACACTGCCCCTAGTGGTTATATGCATATTGCATCTTGAGGACGTGTGGCGTTCATTTCTGAGGACGTGCACAACCAACGCTCCAAACCACCGCAGGATACACAAGGCTGATGTCATGCGTTCCCGTATGCATAGTTAAAAGCA